TTAAATTTAACATTTTTGTTGACCACTGTATTTATTTCTTTTATTCTATCTTCTGTGCCTGAGATTCTTTCTTCCATCTCTTGTATTCTGTTGGTTATGCTGTGTCTTAATTTCCTTCACCTGCTTGTTTGTTTGTTTGTTTTGTTTGTTTTCTCCTTGGCTTTCTTTAAGAGATTTATTTGTTTCCTCCCATTGTTTGTGATTTTTTTTTTATTTAATTTCTTACTCATTTCTTCTTTAAGAACCCCTATCATCTTCATAAGGTTTTTAAAGTCATCTTCTTGTGCTTCAGCTGTGTTGGAATATTCAGGGGTTCCTGTAAGTAGGATAGCTGGGCTCTGGTGGTGCCATATCGCCCTGGTTGTTGTTGATTTTGTTCTAAACTGGTGTCTAGGCATCTGGATTTGGGATGAATATAGGTCTAGGTGGCGATTTCTGAGTTTGTCTTTGTTGGATGATGTTTTGTTCCTTGGTTTCTGTTTCCTCTTTGGTCTTCTGGTCTTTGTGGTCTGTATTTCTCTCATCTGACATGACCTCTGGTCCAGCAGGGAGTCTCCATCAGAGTTGGGGGCTGGACTTCTGGAAGATAGCATGGACTATGGTTCAGCAGGGGGAGTCTCTTTCTTTCTAACTGATGTGGCCTGCGACTGCACAGCGGATATCTATCTGAGGTGGGGCCATGTGTTGAAACTCTTTTTTTAAAACAAACAAAAAAAAACCCTATTTATTTTTATCTTATATGCGTTGGTGTTTTGCCTGTAAGTATGAGGATGCCAGATCCCCTGGAACTGGAGTTACAGACAGTTGTGAGCTGCCATGTGGGTGCTGGGAATTGAACCTGGGTCCTCTGGAAGAGCAGTGCTCTTAACCACTAAGCCATCTCACCAGCGCCCTGTGTTGAAACTAATCCCCAGTGCTTACTATATTTGAGACAGAGCATGTAGTGGGTAATTAAGATTGAGTGATGCCAGAGGTGATCCTGTTGGATTGGTTGGTTGTCTTGTAAGAAGAAACAGATTTCTGAAAGGCAGTTGTCTCTAAGCCAGGGAGAGACTGCAGTGGACCATCCTGACCTTGGGCTTCCCACCAGAACTCAGAAAAAAAAACAACAACTGTCTTTTAAGCCACATGGTTTCTGGTGCTTTGTTGCAGCAGCTCAATGAGGGAATGACTATGTGGCAGTTCGTTGGTTGGTTCCCAGTAGCTTTTCACACAAAGCCTCTGCAAACGGTAGAGTACATGATAGTCTGTACAGATATGTCTTCTGAGGTTTGAGTGTGTGTCCCCAAAAGCTTGATTCTCGATGTGGTGGTGTTGGGAGGTAGCTGCTTGAGAGGTCATGACTAGTGGGAGGCCATTAGCCTTTGAGGACACTGCCTCCAGAAGAGCTCTGTACTGTAGCAGGGAGTCTCTCTGGGTTCTCTTTGACCCTATGATCTCTTGCTCCCACTTTTTACTACAGGAGCCCTAGATGGAACTAGCTGTTTGGATTTGAAGCCTTTGTAACTATGAAGTAAATACTTTTCTTTATAGTTACACAGCCACAGCTGTTGATTATAGTAAGAAAAGAAGCATTTTTATTGTGTAAGTATCTAGGAGTGGACTGGCTAGTTTATATGATGAGTGTATATTTTATTTATTTGTGTGTGTGTGTGTGTGTGTGTATGTGTGTGTGTATGTATGTATGTATATGTACGTGTACATGTATGGAGACCAGATGTCAATGTTGGGTGTCACTCTCTACTTTATTTTTTGAGACAGAGTGTTTTGCTTAATACAGAACTGGCTAAGTCAGCTGGATTAGATGGCCAGCACACCCTAGGGACCCTGCTGTCTCTGCCTCCTCAGCACTGAGATGACAGATGCATGCTGCCCTACTCAGTTATGGTACTTTGTTTTTGTTCTTGTTTTTTTGGGGGGGAGGTATTTATTTGTTTATCAAGACTTATTTTAAGTTTAATTTTATGTTTATATCTGTGTGTGAGTATGTGCACACGTGAGTTCAGGTGTCCATGGAGTCCAGAAGAGGGTGTTGGGTCTTCACGTTTTTCCAACACCTGATGTAGGTGCTGGAAATGCAACTCCACAAAAGCAGCATGTGCTGTTGACCACTGAGCCATCTCTCCAGCTCTTCCCCCCACACACCTGTGTTCTAAACAGCAGTGCTAGGGATTGAACTCAGCCCCCATGGCTGTTCAGCAAGCATTCTACTGATTGAACCATTCTCTAGCTCCCGTTACAGTTTTTAAGAAACTGTCGCCGGGCGGTGGTGGCGCACGCCTTTAATCCCAGCACTCGGGAGGCAGAGCCAGGTGGATCTCTGTGAGTTCGAGGCCAGCCTGGTCTCCAAAGTGAGTTCCAGGAAAGGTGCAAAGCTACACAGAGAAACCCTGTCTCGGAAAAAAAAAAAAAAAAAAAAAAAAAAAAAAAAAAAAAAAAGAAACTGTCAAACTACCTTCTGAGGAGATTCTTCTCTTTGCCAACCTACAATGAGAGTTCTATTTCTTCCCCAGTCATCCAGACAGTCTTGAGTTGCTCTTACACCAAAGGCTTCTATTGGTATACCTTGGCTAGGAGAAGTTAGGCAAGCACAGTGTGCTATGGAGCCTCCCTCATCTCTCAGGCTCTTAGATTAGGATCATTATGATGATGATGATGTTAGTTTACTTTTCATAAAATGACAGTGTTTTCACCCCTCTTCCTTGACCTTTCATAGCTTTCCTTTTCCTTTACACAAAACAAAACAAAAACTCAAAAACAGCTTGCTGACTTGGAGCACTGGGCTGAGAGGTATTAAAAGAAGTTGGGGTGGGGGTGCTAGCGACATGTCTCAGTGGGTAAAAGCATTTGCTATGCAAGCCTGATGACCCGAATTTAACCCCCAAACCCATGTGAGAACAGCTGGATGTGGTGGCCTGCATCTGTAATCTTAGCATTCCTGTGGCAATAATGGGAGGTGGAGATGAGAGTATTAGCCAAAAGCTTGAAGGCCAGCTAACATGGAGTACACAGAGCAGCAGAAACATCAAGAACCAACTCCAGAGAGTTAGCCTCTGACCTCCACACATGTGTGGTAGCACAGATGCACCTGCACTCATGCATATCTCACACACACACATAAACAATACATTTTAAAAGAGTCTGGGTTTTAGAGTCTGACCCACGGCAATTGAATCTAGGCTTTGTAGCTGTGTGAAGAAGTCCTGCGAGATGAGCTGTATTCTCCTCATCCTTTTTGACACTGTGTGGGGAAGCCGAAGCTTCCAGCTTGTATGGTGGTTACAGGGGTTCAATATAATGAATGCATCAAAGCATCTTTGTTTATTGAACATCTGGGAAGATTGTTGATTTATTATAACAGATTTATTAGTTTTATTTATCATTGAACAGTATTTGACCTATTGCCCACCATTTGACTGAGAGGAACTGAGTTCTAATGGGTATCACCAGATACACTGCATTGCCTGGTCAGGGTGACCATGCAATGTTTAATAATGTCCAGGTCATGATTTGATCATTTGTGCGTGTGGGGATATGGCATATATGTATAGGTACTCCCACTAAGGCAGTTTATGCCAGAGTGTTCCTTCAGGCACCCTGTTCAGGGAAGCTTCTGGTCTGCTCACTGGCTACTCAGTGTGTCTCCACTAGGGTTGCTTTCGGGCTTCTGGGATCATGGCCTGTGAACACCGCCTGAGTTTCTCAGCAGCATTTGACAATGGGTGGCAAGGATGCTATCTTTTTGGCCCTCAGAATCCTTTGTCCAGCTGGCTGAAGTGTGCTCAGAGAGTATGGAGCCTTTCCTCCAATGCAGAAGTGGGGCGTTAGTATTTGATAGCAGTGCCAGCCTGCTCCACTGATGTCAGTGCTGAGTTTGAAAGGTTGCCCTCAGCATGGGCAGGTAGACTGAGCTGGAGCTACAGGGAAGTGGGAAGGGGGGTGGTATTGGTGGGTAAAGGATTTGTTTTGCCAGGTGGGGGTGTCTTAAGGCTTTCTCTGCTCTGCCCGACCGCTGGGTTTCCAATACCCTGCAGTGCTGCTCCTTAGAGCCGGCTGGCTTTTTTGGCATCATTTGGTTTAGTTGCTAGGAAGCCGTATAAGGCAAATGCAACTTCCTTTTGACTTGCTCACATTGAACCATCTGCTTATTCCTTTTCGTGGCCTTCAAACTTGGCTAGGATCATTGAGGAGAGGGTCGAGTGGAGCATCTGCGCTCATCCTTTTTGGAAATGGAATGCTTTCTACTAGCTCTTTAACCCTCTCAGTCCAAAGTTGTAACATTCTTGTCAAAACCCTTGGTTCTGTTAGCTGGCAACTTGCAGCAAGCATTGTCTTCTAAGGTTGGCCATGCTTTTTGTCCTGGATTTCAATCTATATTAATAACACATCTCTTAAATGAGGCAGATGGTGGTGGCTGTGTGTGTCAAAATGTATTTGGAGTGTGAGTGTAACAGTGGCTTTAGTGGAGGATGTTTACACTGGAGTTGATGTGCACAACCAGGAGCTCCATTATGAAGTAAGTGCCAGGTATGATCCAGGTGGCAGTGAATCCTTGGAAATGTGATGGTGTTGGTGGAGCAGCCATCAAAAAGAAGCTTAAAACAAAACCAGTGGTTCTTGCTTTTATAATTGTTGGTTGCAGATACTTCTAGCATTGCATGGTGACTTTGGGATTTATGCACTTGGGCAGCTCAGACTTAAGCTGAAGCCCCTTCTGTGGGTGAGTTGTCGTGTCTTTTCTGTGTCAGAGCTACACATTCAGTTGCCAGCTTTGCAGAAGCAATTGAACAAACACACAAGCAAAAATAGAAACAGGTATTAAGGAACAGAGTAGAGCTTCTGACAAAGGGATTCTTGAAAAAAGCCATTGTTCAAATTTTTGAAATCCAGTTTTACTGAAGACTTAATCACCTTTGAGTGTACCAAAACTGTGGAAACTAATGTATGAACTATGGGAAATAATTTCTTCTTGAGTATAATTTGTCTTTGTTGTTTTTTAGCAGTAAGCCATCTAAACCTTTTCTGCCAACTTCTCATTCTCCCCAAGAGGGCTACTTAAAGGAGTGTGAAGACAGGCTAAGGTGAGATTTTATTGTTGTGGCTCAATTTGCTAAAAGCTTAGGTAGTAATGCAAATGTGTTCTTACTGTGCAGATCTAGATGTTTGCTGAAATTGGTGCTATTAATATTTGCTTTTGGGAAGTCCCTTGGGTCAAGTTGATCATATTAACCACTCTACTTTAACTTTTACCTTTCCATAGTCATTTGGACTCTTAACTGAAGTATACCCTTGGCCAGAAGGGCCTCAGCCACCAGGTCTTTGTCTGTGGTATTTTTCAGCCATCTCTGGGTGACTTCCTTGCTTTGTTCATTCTCTGTAGCAGGGCCTGTGACTCTCTTCTCTATGTGCTTTTCTGCTGCTGTCCAATTGCTGTTAAATGCTCAGAAAAGATCATTTCTTTCACTGCAGGACAAATTAGTACTTCAGAGGCAAATGTAAATATCAGTTGTTTTTAAAAATGGGGTTGGAGAGTTGGCTCAGCCAGCAGTTAAGAACACTGGCAACTCTTCCAGAAGGGACCCAGGTTTGATTCCTAGTACCTACATGATGGCTCACTACTGTCTCTAACTCTAGTCCCAAGTCTCTGCTGGCCTCTGTGGGCATCATACATGCACACTGTACACAGATTATACATGAAGGCGAAAAACCTGTGCATATAAGAAAAATAGTTGTTTTTTTTAAAAACCGAGGAGCAGATAGACATATAAAAGCATATGATATTAAAGTGAAAATTTCTGTTTAGACTGTACCAGGTTTTCGGGCTTGGCTTGTTTGAAGCAGGGTCTCTCTACATAGCCCCAGCTGTCCTTGAACTCACTACATAGACCAGGCTGGCCTCAAACTTACAGAGATCCACCTGCCTCTGCCCAAGTGCTGGGATTAAAGGTGTGCGCCACCATGCCTGGCCTCAAACAGCATTTTGCTTTGTTTCCTAGGTTGGTCTTTAAGTCTTGGGCTCAAGTGATCCCCCTATGTGAGCCTCAAGTAACTGGAGCTAGGGCAAGGTGCCACATCCTCTTGTTTTCCTTAGTGATTTTAGTGCCTCATATGGTTATTGTTCTGAAGCATGCACATTTTACTCTCAAGGCTCTTCCGTCTCCTTTTCTTGTTTTTTTGTATTCAGCAGGGGAGTGCCTCTAAGCAGGTGAATCAGTGTAGCATTTCAAGCTGCTCACCTTGGATCTTACTATGTAGTTTTGGTAAAAGCAGTTTTCCTTGAACTGTATTTGAATTGATTTTTATGTGTATGAACTTTGACAAGGCCTCCCTTCTGCCTCCATTAGAGATGAGTTTTGTGACATATTAAATTAATAATTCAAAATTGAAAAATGCTTCCTCAAGTTCAGAAGCACTTGGAAATATAGAATTCAGGAGTGACTGTTAATAGGGGTTAGTTTCTCTCAGGTACCATTTCCTGAAAGAGAGAGACCTAGAATGACTTCGCTGTTAGATTACCTTCTAAAGGAGAGGGTTTCTGGCCCTGGTCTGGAAGGAGCCTAGAGGCAGAAGTGGATAATAACGGTCAGCTTCCCACGAGGGCTCACTTGGCCTCAGCTACCATTCCCTGGACTTTGCCGCAGCAGCCCTTGGAGTCCCCCAGCAGGCTGTTAATAGTTTCTGTTTTAGAAGGGAGGAATTTAGCTGGCTGTGGAGGCGCATACCTCTAGCCCCAGTCTGTAGGGCATGAAGCCATCCTTAGCTACAGATTAAGTTAGAGGCCCGTGTAAGACCCTACCTCAAAACAAACTGAACAGCCAGCCAAATTTGGAATCTGAGACAGATGAGGATAAACTCTTTCCTGCTAGTAAGTGAAGCTGAGAGTGGAGTCTAGCCAGTTATACTCATCTTACATACTTGCCCTGGACGGCCTGGATGCCAGCTTCTGGGATATCTGCAATCTCCTTCACTTCCTTGGTTGGGGAGGCAAGGGAACTTACTGTCTACTTTATTATTAGAAAGTATATGGGGCCATAGATGTAACTCTGGTAGAGTACTTATCTGGTATGTGTGGGGCCCTGGGTTTGACACTACCTTCCCCAAGAAGAAGGAAGGAAGGGAGAGAAGAAGGAAAAAGAAAAGGAGAGGGAGAAAGGGAATACAAAGATTGAGGGCAAGCCAGCAAGAACAAATGTAGCCAGGTGTAAAGAAAGCTGATAACTTGGAGACGGCAGACAAAGCTGCAGCAGGTGAGGGTGAGGTGCACGGTCCTCCAGGAAGTAGGGAGAGTCTGGGACGCAGGCAGGCATTTCAGTTCTGTTATAAGAGTGTCCAACTGGGAAAAAGGTGTTCCCGTCTACACTTCTAAGGGTCTTATAACGCTACGGGGGTGCACGGTCCTCCAGGAAGTAGGGAGAGTCTGGGACGCAGGCAGGCATTTCAGTTCTGTCTACTGTGGGAACAGTTGAGAAGAACCTAACCCACAACCAAAGAGGAGGAGCGGCGGGATTGGTGCTTGTTGGCAGTGTACTAAGCAGTCAGTGTGACAGAGTGCAGCCAGTGACGCTCTGCCATGTGCGCGGGGCCTCTTCTGGGAAGGTAGCTAATTGCTGCCTGCTGAGACTTCTCTCCCTGGCAGGACGTTCCTTGTGGACAAAAACATTGCTATCTAGATACTGGGGAGCTGCAATAAAAGTGCCTGATTTAGGGTACAGAGACATTGAATTCCCCCTTTCCTCTGTTAAATCACAGCAAACGGGAGCACTTTGGATGGTTAATAGATTATCCAGCATCTGTGCACCATTTTGCACACTTTTAACAAGGGAACATAACTTGCTCGAGGGAGCTGAGAAGTACTTAGGAGTGTGGGAGCAAAGCTCAAGGAGTTGAGTTTGCCTGCATCTAACAAAGACCCTTAGAAGTGTAGACGGGAACACCTTTTTCCCAGTTGGACACTCTTATAAAAATATTTCCCGTCCTTGAGACTGAAGGCTGTAAGCTTGAGTCAGTCCGTTTGTCTTGTAATTTGCATCTTATTTAATAAGGATAGTGACTCCATTTAGCACTTTTTATTGTAGCAGTTGAGAAGAAATGGATGAGAAATGGCAGAAACTCTTAGACTCACATAATACTCTAAAATGAGAACAGATTCTTGGCTAACATTTCTAAACAGCCGCTGTCTTAGGTGACTGTAGCTTGCATTGGGTGATCTGGATTGGGTTTTTATGTTGTGGGGGCATGTTCAGAGGGAAAACATCTGCACAATTTGAGAAAATATTTTCATACTTCCAGCAGTACTGAAGAATTATGGGGGAATGTGTTTGATTATTCAAAAAGGAATGAAGATAACCATGAGCAATGCCAGTACTTTCAGCTAGGTAAGAATTCTGTCAAGACTGTTTACAGTGTGCTGACTGTTGTAGAAGCACTGTTTTCCTTTGTAAGGCCGCCCTCCACCCTCCACCGTGGTGATTGATTTGGTCATGCGGAAGCCCTAGTGCACCTGTTTTGCAGATCTTGCCAGTGGCAGGGACGCTCAGAGAGAAGCGCTTTTCCAGCATTTCTACCGACTGCTCCAGAAAGCATGGGATCGAGAGAAACCTTCGGATTGCGTTATTGTCTCTATGGACACAAGTCAGAGGTGACTTTATTTCTTTTTAGCTTACCAAATGAGGGTGTGTACACACTATGACTTAGGTGATCAGTCTTGAGTACATAACTTACTGGAAGTCAGCATTAGGGACATTCCTTTGAGATTGTCAAAATGTCATTGTTGGCCTAACTAAATTGGAAGTAGGGGCATCATTTCCAAAGTTCTGTTTTACTCAGATTTTCTTTATTGCTTGCATTTTTACCCCCTTTTAGGCTATGCCCATCTCATGCATCGGGACTTTTCTGTGCTGTTTTAAAATTGCTTCTGTCCATTATCTTAATAACAGTGATTTTATGAGAGGTACTAGCCGTGTCCTGGCTTATGTCTGTGTCTGTAGTGTTTGGCAGAGTCTGGCTGGTAGACAAATGGTTGGCTTGAGGGCTGAATACTTGTTGCAGTGTTGCTCACTACATGACACTAAGGATCACACAATGAACAGAGTTCTACTATATGATACCAGACACATGTGAATGTGGAACGGGGCTCTATTAAGGCAGTGTTAAGCTTTCTCACATTTCTCTTTTTTTTTTTGAGACAAGGTCTGGCTGTATAGCCCTGCTGGTCTGGAACTTGCTACGAAGACCAGGTTATTCTCTATCTCAGAGATCTGACTGCCTCTGCCTCCCGGGTGCTAGGATTAGTTAGGGTTACACATCAACAAATCCTGTTTTTGTTGACGTCATCTTCTCTTCCTCCTCCTCTTCTTCTCTTTCTTTTTTTTTTTTAATGTGCAATCTTATGACAACTCAGAATTTTTATTCACTATTCAAAAGCAAAATTATAGCTCCATTTCATTTGTAGGGCGTTTGGGTTGGGAGACAGTATGCTAGAAGAAATGAGGTCAGTCACAGCGTGGGAGAGGGCTATTCCTTTTACAGTCGAATGATAGAATTCTTCTTAATTGAAAGATGTCCAGAAATGCCCTGGATTAATTTGATCATGTAGTAATTTTTTTTTTTTTTTTTTTTTTGGTTTTTCGAGACAGGGTTTCTCTGTGTAGCTTTGCGCCTCTCCTGGAACTCACTTGGTAGCCCAGGCTGGCCTTGAACTCACAGAGATCCGCCTGGCTCTGCCTCCCGAGTGCTGGGATTAAAGGCGTGCGCCACCACCGCCCGGCTCATGTAGTAATTTAAACAGATTTTGAACCTAGAGGTGGAAAAGACTCAACATGTATAGTAGACTTGCTGCCTCAGCATTTAGCAATTTTGCCACAAGGCTGCTTTGGCCTGGTCACTGCATTAGTCTCTGACTAAATTAGCTTCCCCTCCAAAGGCAAGGTCTCCTAAGTGTGTAGCAAGGCCGGCTGTGAATTTGTGGCAGCTCTCCTGCCTTAGTCTCCCAGGTACTAGTAACAGATTTGAGCCATAATGCCTGGGTTAGATTAGTTAGCTTGTCCTCCCTCCCTCCAAAATATTTGTTTATTATGTGCAC